TCGTCGTCCTTTCTCATTTCATCCCCAGCTCGAAAAAGTGTTATTTCGTTCGCTGCCTTCCCCCACCAATTCCCTCTTTCCCGTTTCATCCAACGACTTGTTTCATCCGCTGTTTGAAAAATAGGTGTTTACTTTACGATAAGGCGAACGTCTCTTTACTTCAACTAAAATGGTTTAGAAGAGATGACTGTTTCTACTTCGACTTAGCTTTTGATTTTTTAATATTATTTAATATTTTATGCAGACAAATTATGTTGAGCAGAATAATGAATTTCAGACGTGTTCAAAAGGTGTGTATCTGAATATAATAACATTTTTGTTGTATAGTATCCATTTTTTTTAATTTCACACATTTCTAAAGCAACAGAAGTACGGTTATCACTATTTTGGCACACACATCAAAAACATGTATAATTAAGATTAATGTTACATTCCTTATTAAAAGTAATGGGTCCTCATTAAATGCAACCATTCATGCTTTTAGAGGATTTTACATGTGGTGGTCTTAAAAAGATGATGTTCACTACCAATGTTTGTTTATGTTCCCAAAAATAGAGATCTCTTAAAAGGTGACCTCTTAGAGATGTCGTAAATAGATGATTTGCTATAATTATTTTCCGATAGATAATGGAATTAATGTAATTTAATGTCAATAACTCGAGGAAGCAAGTTTAAATACGGTGTAACAAAAATACAGAAGTATTTTAAACGACGAAAATATTCATATTTTGTCAATGTCAAATTTAAAAAGAATTAATTTTGGACAAATTATGAAATCTAACTTTTAATGTCGTCTTCTGGTTTCTATATTTATATTTGGCAAAGTTTTATACTCGTTATGAAAAAATAAAAATACAAGAAGTTTGAGTCCTGTAGGACAAAGATTGACCGGGAAATTTAGTTTCAAAATTTGCAATGTTTGATGCCATTTGTAACTTGCCTTCGGGTATCGCTTAATTGAGTTAGAATAATTCGAGGAAATAAGTTTAAATGAAGTGCAGAAAAAATAAGCATAATTTAAATAGTCGTAGAAGGAAGTCATGCGGAATCCATATCAAATTTTCACTTTTTCATAATGACCATAAAACTTTCCCAAATACAAATACAGAAACTGGGAGACCGCATTAAAGATTAGCTTTCGTTATTTGTCCGTTATTCGTTATTTCGTTTGCTGCTTCCCCCATTCCCTTCATCAGAACCGCTAATGACGAAAGGGTGAAATTTCCCCGATTCATCCCCTTTCCAAAAACTCCTTGTTGAGACAAGGAATGCTATATTATAAATGTCAACTTGCTTTTTACACTTAACAATATATCGATAAAAAACATTCGCACATGTATAGGTTAAGTACGAATTAAGAAAGAACTTAAAAGAAATTTAGAAATCTACAAAAGGTAAGGAAATTTTTATGTTACTTTATTAGAGATAATAGTGAAGCACTAAATATTTCAATCAGTGTTATTTCATAATGCTATGAGTATACCTTTATTCATTTAAGAAATGGCCCACCAGCGGTCGAGCGGTAAAATCGCTGAACACTGGTAGTTCCGACCTGAGTTCGATCTCAGGCAAACGGGTTGGCTTCATAGCAGCGTTTCGTGGTTTTTTTTCCCGTACCAGCTTACAAGCCAGCTTACAACGTACCATACGAGCCAGCTTTCCTAAGAAAGTGCTCTACGAAGGCATTTTTCCTCTTAGGCACATAGCCCCAGTGTGTTTTGTCATAATCAACTAAACCAAATCATTTAAGAAATATATCAGTTGATCACTGCTCAGTGTACATCTGCTGTTTGCTTATAAAAACACTTTGTAAAGACATTTCCACTATTTTGCTAATAATTCTGGAAGGCTCATAAAATCCGAAATTATGTTACACTAGCTAACAGAGAACTTAAGTCTGCTTAATACAACAAAAATCTGCTTGACTTGCTTTCGTGTCTTTGGGAAACGTAAGTATATGCAGAAATAAATATTAAAATCTATCACGTATATTTGTAAGGATGTAAAGCATACTGTTTTGGTTCACGATAATGATAAATATGCATCATGTTACGACAGTTTTAAAAGATCACAAATAACTATACATATGCTAGACTTCTAACAAACAAATTTCTGTTACAATATGAATATGCATTTATTATTATATGAGTCGTAAAAGTTCCAGTATTCGTCATTTTTAGATTCTAGGTATATGACAATTTTTTTTTTTTTTTTTTTAATTTTCGTTTTGTTTTTTAAAAATTAATTCACTTTATAGCTTTTCTTCAATTTATTATAAAGGAATAGGAGTTTAAATTTTGATTTATATATAATATGATATAAATTCATCATTCATTAATAATATTTTATGTATAACAAAAAATTATTATTAATGTTCCAAATTTTAATTTTTTTAATGATTTGTCTTACATTTGTTGTATATTTGTTGAATGCATAGCTAAATATTTCAATTATACACAATAAAGGTTATGCAGAAAACAATTCAGCTGGCATGACAGCTAATTGCGAAAGAAAAATTAGAGTCTTATTGCTCTTAACTCTTAGTACAAGCAGCCATTTTTAAATTGACGTTAAAATAAATTTATTCTATGGTCTATTAGAAAATAACTATACTGAATCATTTATTGACGACTTCTAAGAGGTCGCTTTCTGAAAGAAACCTGTATTTTTGAGAACATAAACATACGTTGATATTGAACATCACTTTTTTAAGATGCCAGAGCAAATGCACAGAGCTCCAAAAATCCTCTAAAAGCATAGACGGTCACGTTTTAAAAGGCTGACTACTTTTAATAAAGCCTGTATATTAATGTTCATTATACATTTTCTCACATTTTTACTTTCTTTCAAAACAGCGATGCTGTGGTTCAATTGCTTTAGAACTATGTGAAACTAATAAAATGGGCCCTATGTTATAAAAACCTAATTATATTCAGATACACACACCTTTTGAACATGTTTGAAATCCATTATTCTAATCAGAATACTTTGTCTACAGAAAACATTGAATCAATATTAGAAATCAAAAGCTAAGTGAGATTAAAGTAGGAAGAGTCATATCGTCTAACCCATTTTAATTGAAGTAAACAGGTGCTTACTTTATCGTAAAGTGAACACCCGTTTTTTCAAACAGCGAATGAAAAGAAAAAAAGAGCCCACCAGAGCTCGAGCGGTAAAGTCGCTGAGCACTAATAGTTCGGTCCGGGGTTCAATTCCCGGCTAACGGCTAGCTGCACGGGCGTTTTCATTGTTTTCCCCGTGTGTAACTTGCATATGAGTCAGTTTCCCTTTAAAAAATCCTCCACGAAGGCCTCCCTCCCCGTAGGCAATAGCCCTAGTGTGCTTTGCCTGTAACCGAATAAACCGAAAAAAAACCGAAAAAAAAAAAGGAATTGGTGGTGGAAGGCAGCGACGAAACGTCGTTTTAGAAGAATGGGCTACATAACCAAATTTCTATCTATACTCTGGTAAACAGTACATTATTTGCTCATCAAAAGCCTAAATTTAGCTAATGCTCGGCTTAGTTCTTAAATTGCAATTTCAGCCACAGCCCCCAAACAAGACGATGTCTGGTATTTTATTTCATTACTTAGTTATTCATCATTAATTTAAGAATTAATTAAATTTTCATTTGTCTTTAAATTTTTATTGAATTATATAATAATCATTTAATATTCTAGTTGCTAATTATTTTATTATTGTAATAGTTATTTTATTTATTTTTTTTATTTATTTATTTATTTATTTTTTAATCATCTTTCCTGATGGCCTTCCATAGAGCTCCAGCACTTCTAATTTTAAAAATTAAGTCCTGACTACAACCAATGATTGCGAAAATAAAAGTCAAGTAACTTATTTAGTGATAATTAAATAAAATAAAAGCCAAAGCTTTTATTTTCGCCTTACTTGGCTTTTATTATATATATATATATAATGTGTGTGTGTGTGTGTGTGTACTTTACATTTAATTATAAGGACATATATATATGTACTTTACATTTAATTATAATTTATTTGATATATATATATACATATTTACGTTTGGTAGTATTACCGATTGCAATAAAAAGGGAGGTGCACATCTAGATGTTATAACGGACCCATATACAAAATTTCAACGTTCTATAACTAATCGTTTTTGAGTTATGCAAAATGCATACATACGTACTTACACATCACGAAAAAAATCCCTTTCAAGTATCAACTTAGAGTCATAATCATTAGTCATAAGTATCAGCTTAGAGTAAATGGGATTACATTTAACAATAAGTTTTTTTTTTTGAAAAAAAAAAAAAAAAAAAAGAGAGAGAGTCCTTCATTGTGTTCGTACGTACAGACGTCACCCCAAAAAATAATTCACATGGATTCCGTAATCGTCAAAAACGGATATTTCCGTTAAAATATGATACCCAAAAGTTTTCTCGATTACAATACTTACTACCATTTTATTTGATACAAGGAAGTAAAGAACCTATATTAACCTACATATTCTTATATAAACAATACCTAAGTGCAGTATATAAATATTTCAAATCAATAAAATCTCACTATGGCACGCTCAAGGGAAAAAAAAAAAAAAAAAAAAATCATCTAAATTTTCAAATTACTAACATAAATAGCTTAAGTAAAAAGCAAATACAAAATAACGCTTCACGCTATCAAAATTGCTCATCTTCTTAAATATCAACAACTAAATAGTATTTCAACTAAAACACATAATGTAAACAAGAGTTTGCCCGATGCCCCAAAAAATTCAAAATTATCTATGAAAAATATGAGCGTATTGTGACGCAACCGTATCATTCGTATTCGAACAGCAACCGCATCTTTCGTACTCGAATAAACCGTATCGTACGACAGATGCGAGTAACTAACAGATGCGAGTAACGAAATGAATTTGTGAGTACCGAATCGGTACTTCGAGTCAACCGATATACCCGTTACTCAGTAACGAATACATGTGGTTTGCCCCAGCTCTAATGTAAAAAGACGAAATGGATGCAAAATGAGACGTGGCTATTTTGTCTGTCTATCTAGAATTTAACGGCGTGAATATTCAAAGTTTGTGAATGTGTAAATAGGTCTCCGTTTAATTTAGTAATTCTTTCTTCTTAATTTAAAGTTAGAATGTCAAATATTGGTACTAAAGATACTCTGTTGAGTATTATTGATGATATAGAGCTTATTGCCAAGTAAGTGTATCATATTTAATTTCTTAACGGGAATATTAAAGGTTTAATTCTAAGTTTCTTTATTTTTATTTGATATTTAGAGAATTATTCGAAAACTTGATTGCACCTAAAGGGCAAAAATTAACATCTGCGGAATTGTCACAGCTTGCTGAACTTCTGGTTTTAAAGGATCAAGATTTGAAAGCAACTTTAGCTGTTGGTTAGTAACTTCCATTAAATTATATTACATGTTATTTATTTGTAACTCTTCTTTACTTGATTTTGTGCGATTACGCGTTGTTTTCCTTCCTTTAATATTTTGTAAAAGCAGAATGTTTTTTCTCCTGGCCTTTTAGCTTAAGAATTTTAAATAAACTATAAAGAACGTTATTTCATAAATATCTAGAATAAAATAAAGTTGTCGACATTTTTGTGTTCATATAGTCTTAGCATCATTCATAAAGGTTATTTGAGTATGACAAAGCATGCAAAGACTACCTATCTAAACATCATTTGATACATATTAATGCAACAACTGAATTCTCAGAATGTGCCAACATCAGGCAACTTTATGTATATCTAAATCACACAGCCATGTGCAAATTGTTATTCAGTTTCAGCAAAGAATGCCGCTATTTTCGTTTGATTTCTTTTTATTACATTCTAAAAGTTTTTATGGATAATTCATAATAAAATCAATTTTAAAACATGCATTTGTGGAATTTGTCTGCAGTGGAAGAAACTGCAGTAAAATTTCTGAAGAAATGTAGTAGTTTGCCACAAAATCACAAATAAGAAAAATTTATTTTAATATATTCAGAAAACAGCAATCTCCACGGGTGATCTTTGGATTATGGTAACTTGGCGATTTTTTGGCGACCAACTCTGCTACAGCAACCCTCTATTTTTTTTTTTTTTTTTGCCGCCATTTTGTCTTCACGAAGTAAAGACATGTTTCTTTTCTTTTTATTTACTGAACACTTTTTCCAACAATCTACTAGCCGAATTACATTATGCTAGAAATTTTATGTAACAAAACTGCTTAATCATGACAAATATTAACTGCAAAATTGGGAAAAAGTGCACAATCGCAAACTCCTTGCGCGTTTTTCACAATAGCACATACACATAAACCATTTACACATAGACTTATTTTTACTTAAAAAAATCCCAGAATTGCACAAAAATGGCATTGCACACACTCTTAACTTTATCCGTCTACACTGCTATTTTCTCATAAATTACAAAAATTTGCGGTTTATCTTTACATTACTCTCCTACAGCAACCCTCTATTTTTTTTTTCCCGCCGCCATTTTGTCTTCACAAAGTAAAGACATGTTTCTTTTCTTTTTATCTACTGAAAACTTCTTCCAACAATCTACTAGCCGAATTACACTTATGCTAGAAATTTTATCTAACAAAACTGCTTAATCATGACAAATATTCACTGCAAAATTGGCGAAAAGTGCACAATACCATACTCCTTACGCGTTTTTCAAAATAACACATACACATAAACCATGTACACGCCGACTTATTTTTACTTAAAAAATCCCAAAATTACACAAAAATGGCATTGCGCACACTTTTCACTATATCCATGTACACTGCTTTTTTCTCATAAATTAGAAAAATTTCACGAAAATACATGACAATTTTCTGAATCTTTGAACCCGGTAAAAAGAACATATATGAAATTACCTGATCTCGAAAAAGTATATACCCTATCCAAATATGAACATTTCCACATATAAAATAAATAAAATATCCAAAAACTTTTACCTCTAAATCATCTATTATATTATACACGTCACCAACGAATTCATACTGCAAGCATTACAAATACTTAGTGTCAAATATTTAAATTATTTCCATGCACGTTTACTTCAACTGAAACGTATACCAAATTCCTACAAACATAAAATTCACAAAATAACTATCATTTAATTAAAATATCACTAAACCATGTACACGTCGACTTATTTTTACTTAAAAAAACATCCCAGAATTGCACAAAAATGGCATTGCGCACACTCTTTACTATATCCATGTACACCGCTTTTTTCTCGTAAATTAGAAAAATTTCACGAAAATGCATGAAAATTTTGTGAATCTTTAAATTCGGTAAAAAGAACATATATGAAATTACCTGATCGCAAAAAAAGTATATACCCTTTCCAAAGATGAACATTTCACCTATAAAATAAATAAAATATTCAAAAACTTTTACCTCTAAATTATCTATTATATTATAAACGTCACCAACAAATTCATACCACAAACATTACAAATGGTTACAAATACTTAGTATCAAATATTTAAATTATTTCCATGCACGTTTACTTCCACTGAAACGTATACCAAATTCCTATACACATATAATTCACAAAATAACTGTCATTTATTTAAAATATAATTAAATTCAAAAACACTACTTAAAATATAAAAATCATTGCTAATAACAATTTTCCAATAATACCATATTATTTTATTTACTCCTTACATTTAGAACAATGCATAAAAATAATATCCTCAAATAATTAAAAATACTAACTTACCTAATCTTCAGAATCTTGATTACGTGTCCGATAAACTTTTCTTATTTTCTCCGCTAAATAAAAAGCAAGCGTACGTGCGCCTGTTTCAGGATCTTTAAAATCATACTTATAGTTCACAGCAAGGTACCAGGTAAAATAAATAACTTAATAAAACATCTTTTTTTCTATCTCGCACAACCTTAAAAAAACACTTATTACTACCCTTTTCAATCCCACTAAATACCCATTTTGAATTCACTTTAGTTAGGGCCATGGGATCCAAAAATTAACCAACACTGTTTCACACAACACAGAATAAAGCTAAATACAAAATTTCCAGATTTTTTCTCGATTTCCCCCCTTTTCCGATTAAAGAACTGTAATTCGTCCATTAATGTCACATGACATATCTCATGATCTCTCATTTCCCTCACACAAAATAATGCGTAATCGGAACTGAGTACTTCTCACATTATTACCAAAGTCCTAGGTAGTAACTTTTATCGCCTCCAAAATGTCACCAAACTACCAGTTACCATATTCCAAAGATCAGCCATCTCCACAATCTCTATACAGAATTGAAGAGGGAGGGGGAAAAAGATAAATTAAAGTTGTTTATAAGTAAATTTATTGATTAGCTTTTTGAAATTGCAAGCTAGCAATTTTTCTTTTGTAAAAATTGCTCAAATAATGCCATGGTGGTTGCACTAATACCTAAGTACCCATCATTCATAAATATGGGAAGTTATGTCTGCTCATATTTCTTAATCTGTGATTATATGCATGTTTGCTTAAGGGTAATCTGTAATACAAATGTCGTCATAATGTGAATTTCTAAAACTAGAAAGTTTAATAATATTTCCGAGTTAAAGAGGCCATTCTGCTTCGTCACCAAAATTGGCAAACTTAATTACTTAGTATGTGGTGTGTAAGTGCAGATTTCAGATATTGTTAAATGTTTATGGAGTGGGTTCGTTAATAAAGAAGTACCAATCTTAGTTTTAAAAATGCCTTGCTCTATATTACAGATACTCATATTAGTTCTGAAACTATATTAAAGTTTTAAATCTACATTAAAACCCAAAAATGAATATATATTTAAAAATATTTTAACCCGTAACAGGAGAGGTGAAAAAGTTGAACATAATGGGATGTGCGGTCTGAGAGACCTCGCATTATAATAATTTTTTAAAATATCATCATGATATTTCACTTAGATGTTCTTTGAACATTTTACTCTGAAACGAAAATACATGTTTACACTTTAAAGTGAAATTAAATTTTTCCCAGAAAATTTCCCCATAGCCTTAAATTTTTCAATGAAAATCATATGCTGCACTAAATTCTATAAAACTAAAAATAAGAATGCATCTATTTTGAATTAACTATTTTATCTATATTATTTAATATTTAAAGCAAATTTTAACCGGAGAAAATTGTATGTAGCACAATACAGAAAAATTTTGACAGTACTTGAAATATCAGTATCTCACTGATTTTCTGATAGTAAACAATTTAGTTTTCGTCTAATTCATTGCATAACTTTTGCATGCATTCCAAACAAACAGGGTCTTGGCAAGATAAAAATAAATATGCTGTCTTTCTTTTCTTGCTTGGGGGGCACAGACGACACGTTTTCCTTGATTTTAATTTTGCTTCTTTTGTGCCCTGCTCCACATCCTTAGACTCGGCTTCTTTTCCTAAAATCCGCCTTATCATCAGGCGCAATTCGCGATTATTCTTGGATTTTTCACTCTCGTGTGTAGTAGTGGTTGGACTAATTCTCCCGCTGATTCTTTCAAAAACACCATTCTGGTCATAACAGGGTTTTGGTTATAACCTTGGTGCAAAATGTATGCGTTTACTGTACTCATATCTACTAACCGGTAGAAAAGAGCCATAGGCCAACACGTTGTTCTCCTGCTACAGGAATGGACAGAACATTTTTCATCTAAAGTATCAACACCACCTTTGCTTCTGTTATAAAAAGCAATTATTTCAGGTTTCTGTGTTTCTGAGTCTGTTTCTATCGAATGATGCAATGATAACATCGAAACCACCTGCTCGCCTTTTCTTTGGAACAAATGAAATCAACGTATGTACTTAGTAAATCCATACAATGTTGAATTCTCTTTTCTTGACTTACATGGAAGAAAATCTTTCGGAATTTTTTTTTTTTTTTTTTTTTTTTTTTTTTTTTTTTTTTTTTAACAGTTCCAATGTATGTCAGTCCATTTTTCAACAATTCTATGGTAAGTTCTATGGAAGAAAACCAATTGTCTGCTGGTACATTCCTGTTCATATTAAAAATGGGTTTGCTGAAACACAGAACAGCTTGACTTGGTTTGCTGAATTTTTCCAACTCTCTTCTACGTTAATTCCATCAGAGTCTTTTCCACAATAAAGATATGCATTGTAAGCATAATTATTCCGGGCATCAGTCAAACACATAACTTTTAATCCATATTTCACAGGCTTTTGGGGCATATATATTTTCAAGCGACACTTTCCTCTGAATCCAACAAGCATTTCATCAATGCAGATGCAAGTGCCTAATGTGTATGCTTTCTGGGAGTAATAAATGAATAAATTCATCACTTCAGAAATAAGTGCTGCCGGATCAGATTTCTTTCGTTCTTCCCTATCATCTGGGTTATCAAATTGCAAATTTGAAAGTAAAAA